TGGCTCTGCCTTCAAAACATACCCAGAATTCAATCACTTCCTACAAAGTCACTGCCACAACTCTGGTCCAAAATACTGTCATCTTTCTCTTGGATTACTGTAAGAACCTTGATGTTGTTAGCATGCTTGATTCCTTATTTTCTGTTCTCAATGCAAGAGTCAGGATGATCTTTCTCAGATGTCACGCATGCCATTCCTGTTTGAAATCCTCTAGAAACTTGATCTCACTCAGAGTTAACATCTTTATCATGCCTTAAAGGCCCTACTAAATAAATAAATAAGGCCTCTATGATTTCATCTTCCTTCAAGGAATTTTTCTATGTTGTTTACTTAAGTATTGTTAGTATCTTAGTAATAATGCTGGCAAATACATAGTTGAAAGAATGAGAAATGTCTGACTACAAAACTTATCCTTTTTGTCAATTCATTTTAAACACATATTAGTGTCCCTGGGAAGTGAAAATGGTAAGTACACCCTTCAGAATATCTAAAAGTCCTACTTATAGACCAGAAAATGAGACATTTGGTATCCTGAGCTCCTCTAAACATGATTTGAAGATTTGGTTCAGATTACTTTGATTTTTAACAAGTAGTTGCAAAATTGACCAGTAAGGGTATTCTAGAATAGGTCAGTACAACAACACTACTTCTCCAATTTAGAGATTTGTTAATTAATTCAGGATTTTTTTTACAATTAAAAACTTCTTTAAGAACCAAACTAAAAATTTCCCATAGCCATGTAACATTTATTGTTCTTAACTGTCTACATGACATGCTGAAAGAAGTTTCATTTCTGGAAACTTTTTTCTAAACATGTGCCAATGGATTTTCACAGACATCTCTTTTGGTCACACATTAAGAAAAGGAAATTGTATTATACAATTTGGATACAGCTTTGAATTCTTCTTCTTCTCAAGAACATCTATTAATTCCTGTTTGCTTTATTCCAAGTGTTAGCTCTTACCAAAAGAAAACCCTCATTTCTAATTAATCAGTAAAAGAGAAAGGGGGAAAATGGTTGGAGTAAGTGTAAGTAATACTAGTTTAGAGTAAGCTATCAAAAACTGGCCAAAAAAACTATGAAATAGACATTTGACAAAATGTCTTATAGACAGCCAAAAGTGTGTCACACGCTGGTACAGCAACACATAATTGCAATCTCAGCACTTGGGAGGTGGCGGCAGGTTACATAGCAAGTTTCTTTCTCAAAAAAACTTACACACACACACACACTACAAGCAAAAATGTTTGTGATGTAATACTGGCATGACCTAAAGCTACTTTTGTACTAATTTTAACTTTAGCCTTTGTGTTTCTTAATATATAGTAAACTGTAATGCTGCTTGATATGAAAACAGCTACTGTAACTGGGAGTATCATAGTCTAACAACCTGCAGTCAGTCAGACCTGCCAAGCCATCATCATATAAACCAGATGCCAACTGCAGCCCAATCAGGTTGCTTTTTTTTAACTAGGTTTTTTTTTTTGGTCTTTTCTTTTTTGGCACTGGGGATTGAACCCAGGACATTGCACTTGCTAGGCAAGTGCTTTGCCATTGCTCTACATCCCAGCTCAAGTTGTTTATGCCACTTTTCTATACAAGCAAAGCCTGAGCATATTGTATTCTGAACCATTTTGTTTCATACTATTACCAATTCATAATTTTTTTTGTCGGTTGTGGGGCTTGAACTCTGAGCCTGGGCACTGTCCCTCAGCTCTTCAGCTCCAGGCGAGCACTCTACCACTTGAGCCACAGTGCCACTTCCAGTTTTCTGTGGTTTATTGGAGATAGGAGTCTCATGGAAGCTGGGCGCTGGTGGCTCACACCTGTAATCCTAGCTACTCAGGAGGCTGACATCTAGGACCACAGTTCAAAACCAGCCTGGGCAAGAAAGTCCATAAGACTCTTATTTCCAATTAACCACCAGAAAACCAGAAGTGGTGCTGTGGCTCAAGTGGTAGAGTGCTAACTTTGAACTGAAGAGCTGAGGGACAGCACCCAGGCCCAGAGTTCAAGACCCACGACTGAAAAAAAAAAAAAAAAAAAAAAAAAAAGAAAGAAGGAAGGCAAGTGCTCTACCACTTGAACCACAGTGCCACTTCCGGTTTTCTGGTGGTTAATTGGAGATAAGAGCTAGGATTATAGGAGTAAGCCACTGGTGCAAGGCCATAAATTTTCTTTTTAATTCTTGTTTCCCCCTTACCTCATTCCTTACCCTTATTTTGGTTGTGGGGGGAACACTGGGGTTTGAATTAATTCAGAGCTTCCCACTTGAGCCCTTCTTGGGTCAGTTTTTTTAAATATATATTTTACTATTTTATTTTTATTTTTCCCTTTCCCCCCCATATTGTTGTATAGGTGATGTACAGAGGGGTTACAGTTACATAAGTCAGGTAATGAGTACATGTCTCTTTGAATGTGTGCCCTCTTCCCTCTTTTTTTTCCCCAGCTTTTCCCTCCTGATCCTCCCCACAAGCTGTATAGTTCATTTTCAACATAGTGTCAAGTGAGTATCACTGCTGCATTTGTTCACACTTTGTCCCACTATTTCTGTGCTCCCCCTTAACATCCCCCAAACAGAAAAACTTACATACAAAAGTACAGAAAACAAAAACAGCAACGATGAAACAAAAGCTCAAATAACAAAAAAGCGCTTGTTTTCATTTCTTAAGTTCATTTCCATAAACATAATTTTATATGGCCATATGCACATAGCTATTGAGCCTTTGTGGTCCTCTCCTGAGAATATCCTCCTTTGATCTCACTGTATGAATGTGTAGACTACTATATAATTTATCATGTCCAAGTGTATTTTTTTGTCTTTTACCATCCAGTATTTTACTTACATTAGGCAGTTCCTAGTTACAACAAATGAGGGAAAACATGCAATCAATGTTTCTTTGGGTCAGGGTTACTTTTCTTAATATAATTAGTTATTTTTGAGATATCTTTCTCCCTGGGTACACAACACCAGTCTACCTATTTTAGACTTCTCATTCTTGCTAGGATGACAGGTCACTCCCAAGTCCAGCTTTCCTCCAGAGTCTCTTGGACTTTTCTTTCTGGGCTGGCTTTAAAATGATAGGAGGGGGGACCCATCAGCTGGACTGGACATTGACCAAAATGAACTAAGCAACTCAATGGCAGCAATGGGAGGGAGGGAACAAGTGGGAAAGAGGGAACAGCTGATGCTATGCAAAACAAAAGAAATGTACATATCACCCAATGTGGAAGAAATAACTATGTTGCAAAGCTCATAGAACTCATAAATGTTATAGACCATGATAGACAATTTGCCTCATGAAAGTTAGAATGTGTTTGTGACTTTAAGCATCACTATCCCACAATACTGTGAAATTTGGGAAATTACGTAACCACTTAATCACACTAAAAAATTTGGAAAAAATAAAATGACAGGAGGGAGGGGTCTCATGAACTTTTCAATCTCTGCTGGGCTTCAATACCGATCCTTCCTCTGTCAGCCTCCCAAGCAGCTGGAATTACAAGCATGAGTCACCAGTGCAGTTAAAAGGCTTCTCCCTTATTTTTTTATTAGTTTACTGAAAGTATTAATTAATGACTTGAGATCACTAATTGAGAGATTTAATTTTATAGACTGATTGTCATTTTTACTTGTGTTACTATTATGCTCACCTTTGGTCCGCAGCTCCACCCACACCTGGCCCCCCTCCCATTCCTGGAGTTCCCACCATACAGCTGGTCCCTACCTCTCTCTGCCCAGACCCACCTGAACTCCCATCTACCTCACTTCCTACCCCTCAGATGCTGCTGCTACCTGGATAGGGACAGGTGCCATGTGCTCCCTCTTGGGGGAAACTGGCTTCTCTAATAAGCCTATCTAATAATCTTTATCCTGTGCCTGCCTGCCTCTGCGTGATCCCCTGGGATGGATGTGTGGGAAGCCTTCTTCAACTTGACTAACTAGAAGTGTCATTACATTTGTAGTATATTACATTCAAGGAGCAAGCAGAGAAATTAAATTCACTGGGTGTATGTTAACATATGGAGGGAAAGAAAATAATCAAGTTATTTGTACCTGGTACTCTTCACGTGTCATTTATTCACTGTACCAGTTATAGTCAATTAAGAGAATATCACAGTGAGATTTATATGTCTATGGGGGAGAGGGGGAAACAATCAACTTGTTTTTTGTTCAGAAAATTTACTGTTAACAATTCTGAAAAAAAAAAACCGCAACAACAAAAAGTCCTGATATCGCTTACTAGTGATGTTAAACAATTACTGCTATGTTTGCTAGGTACTCCTCCTTTCTCCTTTACCAGGGGAAGTAGCAGGGGGTAGATTAGATTGGCAGCTGCTCGCAGAGCTGTGTTAACTTATATCACTTGAGGATTTAACAACAGATGCCCTAAAAAGACAGAAATTCACAAGAAAATGAAGTTCAAAGTCTGGCGGAAGCAACTGATAAAAAATGAGCGTTCAGTGATAACTGAGCATTGGACTGTATGAGCTCTCCAGGGAATAATAAGAAAGGATTCCAGAGTAGAAAGCTTGTACACAACCTACTCAAGGAAGGGCAAGGTGGGCACGCTCAAGCGTCAACTATACCACTACTGTGTGGCCTTTTCTGCAACCTAGTTCTTCTCAACTATACAACTTCCCAAGACTGTGCCCGTGGAGAGGTCCAGCCGCAGGTTCAGGTCACCCCCAACTGTTGGCACAGTCCTTAGCTACAAGAAGCGGGAACCGGCGGGATGGGATGCCACCACACACCAAGTCTAAAACTGAGGTCTCACGACTCGCGAGACCACCGCGGGCCGGCAATTGTGGTCCAAGGTTCCCAGCCAATCACGGCTCTTGGATTTCCAGAGACCGCGCCCACTTCAGCTACTTTCCCTAGCTCCACCTCCACCCCGGAGGCCTTGGGGGTGTTTTGAGGGCGGGGAAACAGTAGGAGCCCATCGATAGCTCTGGAATAGACAGCCCTTCCCTGCGTCGGCCGCTGTCGTCTAAGCCACGCAGCCTTTCCCTGTCGATCGCCGAGCGCTTCGGTTCAGCCGCGCTCTTCCATTCGCAGCTTTGCTAGAGGCTCTCGCATCCAGGTCGGCGCCGGAGCTATGGTGCGTTGAAATCTCGGTCCTTAGGAGGTTTAAGGCAAAGGTCCGCTGACCGCGGGTCGGTGTTTGGCCTCTCTTGTCACCTTGCTCACGAGACCCGGGGCGGGCGAGGGCCGGGCGAGCCTTGCAGACTCGGGAAGCCTCGGGCTGTGATTCAGCACCTCCGGGCCAGGCCCGGCCCGGCCCGGCGCGGCCGGCAGTGGCTGCGGCCTGCTGCACGCTCTTGTGCGGCCTCCGCGGGGCCTCTGACCGCTCGCCTTGCGGTCGCTGAGCAGAGTTCCTCCACTGGCGGGGATTCGCGGTAGTCCGTAGCTGAACCCTCGTCCTGTGAGTGGGCTCTGAGCGGAAGGAAAGGCCTCCCAGTCACCGTGCACCGGACCCCTCGCTTCCTGGAACCCGCGACCATTTACTTTGTGGGTCCTTTTAACTTCTCCGTCCCTCCCAGCGCTTGGTACGAAAAGGCCCCTTCTAAGCACTTTGTTCTGTCGTTTGGTGATGGACGGTGATCAGAGGTGCAGTGTCGGGCCCTCGCTTCCCTTGGGTCTGCCACTCCAGCTCTCACCCCGTGACTTTCTTCCCAACTGATAACGTTATTAGGGCACTAATACTTCTGTCCCTATAGCTATTTTTATTTATCTCTTAACTTCCCGAGGACATCTTTGCGTTTATTCACTCAGTATGAATACTGATTGGCACAAGTTAGAGTTTCAAATCTAAGTCAGGCTTATCCCTAATGGTAATATGTAGATAAAAACTGTGGAAGTGTTGGAGTAAATTTTAGAGAAAAAGATGGAGAAGACTTCAGGAGGCAGGTTTGTGGAATAATTTAAAGTAAAAGTCTCAGGGGGATTTGTTAGAGAACAACATATAAGCCAAGATAGGTAGAGAAGTCGATGCCTGCGAACTTTACCGGTTGACTGCCCAAGTTGAGTGCTATAGAGAGTGACAGAGCAGAAAGATAAGATTGGATACCTAAAATGCTGCTGCCCCTTCCACCAGCTCGTAGGTACCACGCAGTATGGTGGTGATGTTCCAGCAGAGTTGCATTAATGGAACTGCTTTAACGTTGAGTTGAAACATGTGAAACATTTGCTAATGCTGTAAATTGGGGTTGATTCTTAAATTAAGAGGTCTTTTTTCTTTCAGTTTCGCAACCAGTATGATAATGATGTCACTGTTTGGAGCCCTCAGGTAAGTAAGATAAGTTTCATTCCATTTTTATTTATTGTACACCCCCCCTCTCTTTCTCTCTCTTTCTCTTTCTCCCTCTCTCCCCCCTCTTCCTTTCAGTCTCTCTCTTTCCACATGATCTTGAAACATAGCTCAGAACTCAAGGTCTTCCTGCCTCAGCCTCCCAAGTGCTGGGATTACAGGTGTGCCATGACCAGGCCCCTATATCCTATGTCTGTAAAGTGTTTTTTTCTTACCTGCAATAGATTTAGAGATTGTAAATGAGGATCGAAGGCCTTAATTCCAGCTGCTCAGGACACTGAGGCTAGAGGATTGCTGAGTTTGAGGCCAGTCTGAGCAACTTACTAAGACCCTGTCTCAAAAAAAAAAAAAAAAAAAGCTGGGTGACACTGGCTCCTGCTTGTAATCCTAGCTGCTCAGGAGGTAGGGCTTTAATTAAGTCATTTGATCCTTAACTATCCTCACTTAAGGTTTGGAACCATTTCTAATTTATAAAATAATCTAATGTAAATTTAAACTGTATTATCTTTTTAGGGAAGGATTCATCAAATTGAATATGCAATGGAAGCTGTTAAACAAGGTTCAGCCACAGTTGGTCTGAAATCAAAAACTCATGCAGTGTTGGTTGCATTAAAAGTAAGTAAAGAAATAAATATTTATTACTCCTTTGGAGAACAGAACTACCAAGTGAAATTTTCATTGTATAAACAAAAAATATGTACATTTTTCTTGATATCCTATAATGTCTCTGTTTAGAGGGCACAATCAGAACTTGCAGCTCACCAGAAAAAAATTCTCCATGTTGACAACCATATTGGTATTTCAATTGCGGGACTTACTGCAGATGCTAGACTGTTGTGGTAAGTATTATCATGAAAAACAAAACAATTATCTCTATCATAACTGATTACTTTTCTAGAAAAAGTATAGCTCAGATATTTTAGGAAGTTGTCCACTAGAATATTTATAAATTATAATTAAGGTTGTAACTATCTCAGTAAGGTTTGGATTGGCTACTAAATATTTCTATGTATTTTTTACACTAGTAACTAAAATTACACATTATTTTTGCCACTTTAGAGAAGTCACGGAATAGTGTGGTTGTTAGTACATTGTATATATGTCTAAAAACGGCTTGACAGTTTTTGTTTGATACTTAAGAATGAACCAGACCCTTGAATCAGAAATTATTTAACTTTTTTTCTGGAGGCTGAGATCTGAGAATTGCTGTTTAGAGCCAGGCCAGGCAGGAAAGTCATTGCAACTCTTATCTCCAGTTAACCACCAAAAAGCTGGAAGTGCAGCCGTGGCTCAATTGGTAGAACATTATTAGCCTTGAGCAAAAAAACTCAGGGACAGTGCCTAACCCCTGAGTTCAAGCCCAAGGACTGGCACAAAAAAAAAAAAAAACGAAAACAATTATTTTTGGCAAAGCTCAATAGTAGGTAATTATGAGATGTAGAAAAATGACTAAGACATAGATTTTGTCCTCAAGGAACTTAAGGTCTAGTCTATCAAGACAGAAGTAGAGAGTAAAAGGGAAATTTTTGTTAGCATAAGGATGTTAAGATTATTTTTGGTTAATAAGCAGTATGTAACTGAAGAGATGTGGATTTGTTATTATAGGCTGAATTCTCACCCCATCACTTAGTGTCTGAGATTGGGTAAATAGACACTTTTCCAGTATATTTTTTTATATAAGAATGAAGACTTACAGGTAGAACACTTAACAAAGTGTCTTTAGAAAGAGCATGAAAACACACATGTATACATGTTGATGTGAACAGAAAGTGGTCAAAGCTAATTTCTTTAATTATTTGATTAAGGAAGAAACATAAATGGTAGGTTCGGAGGGTAATACCGTTGTTTAAGATTTTTAAGTAGCTCTTAAGTTATACCTTAATCTCTTAAGTCAACAAGATAGCTATGGCTTCATAGATTTCTGTCTGCTATAAATGTGAAATATGTTATATTGTCACATTTATTCTAATAGATCTAAAATATTATCATGCCATCATATAGTTAAACATAAAAACTTTATTAGTGAGATTCTGTATATATTTTGGTGTTAAGACTTTGAAATTTGTTTTGTGCTTTATACTTAACAGTATATCACAGTATATCACAGTTACTTTTGAAGATCTCAGTTGCTTCATGTGGTTAGAGACTGCCAAAATGGTCAGGTTTAGACTGCTTTGGCAAATTAAAAATACTGAAGAAATAGCTTAGTTCCTTTAGTCAGCATTTGTTCATCAGGTGCTAAATTTGTATGTTAGTGGGAGGGTGCTTGGCAAGAATGCACAGTGTCCTGGCCAGTCTCAGGATAAAGCAAGACCCTATCAAAAATAACCTAAGTTAAAAAAAGGACTGGAGATGTGACTCAAGCAGTAGAGATACCTATATGTCACCTTTGTTTCTCACAGTGGGAAGCTCTGAGTTCAAACACCCAGTACCACCAAAAAGAAAAACTTCATATCCTCCCTGCTTAATGTAAAAATACATCCTTATGACCTTGTCTTGTCTTTCTGGTTTGTTTATATGGGTGTAACTCATGAAAATGTTTAGAAAAAAGAAAAGTGAATCAAACTGCTTTATTAAATTAGCTCTCTGTGATATGAGATTACTAATTTTCTTGTTTCTCTTTTAGTAATTTTATGCGCCAGGAATGTTTGGATTCCAGATTTGTATTTGACAGACCCCTTCCTGTGTCTCGTCTTGTTTCTCTAATTGGAAGCAGTATCCTTTTTATGTTGACATTTACGAATGTAAACTCCAAAAGTCTTTGGTACTTAATCCTTGTATTAGTTTATTAGGAAGTAATAATACCATAGATAAGAATGTAAAAGCTTTAATTGGAAGTTTTTCATTGGCCTTTTTAAGCAGTTGGAATTTAACTGTCCAAACACCATTTTCACAGAAATTTAAATTTTCTTATTGTTCTAGGTGTCCCCCAGTGCTTTGAACCTCTGAAGCCAAAACAAATGAGGTTCTACATGGGGAAAAAAAATCATTTTGCTAACATGTATTCTTGGGGTGGAATGTTATGCAGTGTATAATATGAGGTCAAAAAATACTGTTCTATTTTATTTCTTGTAGACTACACAGTAATTTAGGAAGATGCTAACAGTCTTGGTTTTGTTTAATTTTAAAATAAAGATAGTACTTTATTCTTTGTTTAGAACAAGTTCTTTAACTAGTTTAAGAGACCCAGATACCAACTCAGCGGTATGGCAGAAGACCATATGGTGTTGGGCTGCTCATTGCTGGCTATGATGTAAGTTTATATAGCATTCTCACTATTTTAAGAACTGTAGTGCTGAGCATGATAATGCATGCTTGTAATCCCAGTACTGAGGCAGAAGGATTGCAAACTAGAGTCTGGCCTGAGCTACATTGTAAGATGCTGTCTTTAAAAAAAAAACAAAAACAGGGCTGGGAAGATGGCTCAGTGATAGAGTGCTTGCCTCACATGTATGAGGCCCTGGGTTCGATTCCTCAGCATCAATAAACAGAAAAGGCCAGAAGTAGGAGCTGTGACTCAAGTGGTAGGGTGCTAGCCTTGAGCTGAAGAGCTGAGGGACAGCGCCCAGGCCCAGAGTTCAAGTTCCATGACCAATAAAAATGAGAAAAAATAAAAACAGCCAGGCACCAGTGGCTCACATCTGTAATCCTAGCTATAGCCACTCATGAGGTTGATTTCTGAGGCTCAAAGTTCAAAGCCAGCCTGGGCAGAAGAGTCCCCATGAGATTCTTTATCTACAATTAATACTCAGAAACCAGAAGTGGCACTTGGGCTCAAGTGGTAGAGTGCTAGCCTTGTGTACACAGAGGCTCAGGGACAGCACCCAGGCCCTTAATTCAAGCCCCAAGACTGGCAATAAATAAATAAGCAAAAACAACTACACAGAAAATACATAAAGTCAAGAATTGTTTTGGTTTTTTGTATTTGTAGGATATGGGCCCTCACATTTTCCAAACCTGTCCATCTGCTAACTATTTTGACTGCAGAGCTATGTCCATTGGAGCTCGTTCTCAGTCAGCTCGTACTTACTTGGAGAGACATATGTCTGAGTTTATAGAGTGTAAGTAATAACTTCCATTTTGTTTTGCCTCCTCCAGTCTTTGTATAGTGAATAATGTATTGTCCTAAGAAAAATACTACTCTTAGAGGATTGCTTTATTAAACGAAGCCCTTAAAGTATTTATTGTTAATTTCACAATTACTATTGCTTACTTCTTCTGTTTACCAATAGAATTTTTTCAGATGTATCCTCAACCTTAAGCATTGTTTTTTTAAAAAAATTATTATAGGCTGGGAAGGTGGCTCAGTGGTAGAGCGCTTGCCTTGCATGCCTGAGGCCCTGGGTTCGATTCCTCAGCACCACATAAGCAAAAAGAAAAAAAAGAAAAAAACCGGAAGTGGCGCTGTAGCTCAAGTGGTAGAGCGCTAGCCTTGAGCTGAAGAGCTGAGGGACAGCGCCCAGGCCCAGAGTTCAAGCCCTACGACCGACAAAAAATAAAAGGAAAAAAAAAAAAGAATGACTAATTGAGTAAGTGTTATAAGCTGTCATTTAAAATAGAGTGGTCATGGGTGACCTCACCAAGAAAGTGACATTTAAAGAAGAGATCTAAAGGAGGTAAGTGAGTCATACAGATGTCTAAAGCCAGATTATTCTTAGGAGTGCAAGTGCAAAGGTCCTGAAATAAAGAGTTTTCTAATAAGTAAGGAGGTTAAGTAGTGAGGCGGGTGATCAAGAGAAGGAAAAAAAAAGAGAAATAAAATGGAGGTCATATTGCATATCTCTTATTGTGGGTATGTTGTATTTTATTCTTAAAGAGTTCAAGCATTTAAGTTAAGAGTACCCTAATTTGATTTCGCTTTTAAGACACTTGGGCGTTTTGACAAGAGACTTTTGTGTAGTGGGGGCTTGGGCAAATACAGTTTTAAAACTAAGACAGTGATTCATGTGAGAGGTGATGGTGCCTGCAGCAGAGTGATAAAGGTAAGTTCTGAAATTAGAGCAAACAAGTTTGCAAACAAATCTGGGGAAGGTATTGCTTCCAAGGTTTTTACTTGGAGGGAAAGATTTTTGATTAGCTGTGATTCATAAGAGCTTAGAAGGAGGAACCAGTTTTATATTAGGAGTACAGCAGATTAGGTAGTCAGTTTAGGGCATGTAAAATTTCAAGTGCTGTTTCTTTGTCTAGCAATATAGACAAGCAGTTATTATCAGTACTTCCTAGACTTCTATGGAGAGTGATTTAGCCTAGAGTTCAAATTTTTGAAATCTTTACATAGAAATGACATTTATAGAGTAGACTAGATGCGGTTCTTAAAGGAATCAAAATAGGCAAGCAATTTGAGGACTGAACTGAAGACATTTTAGCCTTTAGAGATTGGGAGATCTCAGAAACTCAGAGATGGTTAGAGGAGGAGGAAAACTTGGATAAAGAGAAATCCTTGGAAAGAGAATTGGAGATAGCTCTCTGGAGAAGATTTTTCTACTGAGGATCCAGAGAAATGAACTGGTAACTGAAGAGGTTGTAGTAAGGATTTTTCATTGGTTGGGATTTTTTTTTAAGATGGGGAAAATTGCATCATATTTACTGCATGTCAATGAAAGAAATCAGTGTGAAGTGACGAACTTAGGTAAAAATGGCTAGAACAATGTCCTTTGACAGTATACAAATGGAGTTATTAGCTTTTCCAAGGAAATTGAAGTTAATATTGATGGTAACAGGAAGAGAGAGAATCTAGAGACCTAAGTAAAGTAAAACTTAGAAGCTGGGAGAAATGCTGTCTGTTCCAAATGCTTCTATTTTCTTAGTGAAATAGGAACAGGTTTTTTTTTGTTATTGTTGATTTTGTGAAGAGTGGAGAATGTTGCAAATTGTTGTCAAGAAGAAAGGAAGAATGGAATAAAGGGGTATAGTTTTATCGGTGGAACACTTAGAGAGTGTGCTTGAGATTATGGGTTCAATCCCAAGCACGGGGGAAAAAAAGACTGAATGATACAGGAACTGGTATATGATCCCCCAAAAAAGCCACTAATGCCTAATCAAAATTATAAAGCCATTTTTATGATCATTGGATAAATATTTAGTACCTATATGAAACTTTATAGCTTGTACCATTTTATAGACAGTATTTAAAGTCTTGAGTTCAAGAGCTATCTGAAAATTTTCTATTTTGACCCATTGTAGCATGTTCATTTTTGTGACTTATTTTGTTCACTTTGTCATTTCCCCTCAGAATGTTTCCATTGGAATTGTTGGTAAAGACTTGGAGTTTACAATCTATGATGACGATGATGTGTCCCCATTCCTGGAAGGTCTTGAAGAAAGACCTCAAAGAAAGGCACAGGTAATTATTCTTAATACAAAAGGGTTTTTTTCTAGAAGGTGTTATTCTCATCACAACTGTCTGAACCTACCAATTTTGTCCTTTACTGAGATAGACTTATAGTTCAAATGGGAATAAGAAAATTAAGAACTGAGAAAACTAAAATATTGGAGGGTCAGTGGAGAATTGTGAGTTTATCTATTGTCACACATTGAGCTACCACTAAAACTTAGGGGATTAAAACAAGAATTTCTCAAAATTCTGTGGCTGAGGCACAGCTAGGTGGTTCTTTTGCTATTCTCACTTGAGATCTCGAAAATGTATTCAAATGTTGGGATAGGGCAAGAAATTCAATGCAGCCACTCATGTCTTTATTGTGGGTTCTAGAAGAGCAGCTAGAAGGCTGGATCCTCTGCTAGAGTAACTGGGCCTCTGTCCGTGTAGTCGCAGGAACCTCTCAAACAAGGTGGAAAAAGCTAAGAATTTGCAAAAGCTTAAAAGTGAAAGCTGTGAGAAAAAAAAAAAGTAGAAATTGAGAGTGGCATTCTTTTTTTTTGGGGGGGGGAGGTCTGGTCGTGGGGCCTGAACTCTGGGCCTGGGCACTGTTCCTCAGCTCTTCAGCTCAAGGCTAGTGCTCTACCACTTGAGCCACAACACCACTTCCAGCTTTTTTCTTTTTGCTTATGTAGTGCTGAGGAATCGAACCCAGGGCCTCATGCATGTAAGGCAAGCGCTCTACCACTGAGTCACCTTCCCAGCCCCTAGAGTGGCATTCTTAAATGAGACTGGTCAAATGTTACTTTTTGTTTTCTTTTCCTGAGTCCTGGACATTAAAGCCAGTTTTTCATTCTTGGTAGCCACATATTATACCACTTGGGCCTTACTGCCAGACCAACAGCATCACTTCTGCACATTCTGTTGGTAAAAGTAAGTCACAGGGCTAACCCAGATTGTTTATGAGTAGACATTGAAAGAAGTGCATATTGGGGCCATCCTTGAACAGTAAGTTGGGTCTTCATAAATAATAACAAGAGCATCAAGAACTGTTGGTGAAAAGTTAAAGTGTTAGGTAATCTTTTCTGGGTTCTGAGGCTATTGCTTTTTTAAAAAAAATCCTTTTATTTGGGGGAGAATTATGGTTTGAACTAGGGCTTTGTATTTACTAGGTGCATTCTACCATTTGAGCTACACCTGTAGCCTATGTTTTGGAGGTAGGAGGAGTCCAAGGTCTTACCATATTCCAGATTAATGTCAGACTCATGATCCTATTGCCTCAGCATCCCAAGTGCTGGGATTACAGTTGGTCCTCTATAACAGGCTTGTATTTGCTATCAATGAAAGCTTATTTAATAGCTATGGAATTAAAAATAAAAAGTGGTAGCCTTATACTGGGTAACTCATTCCTATAAGTCTTACTACTTAGGAGGCTGAGATCTAAGAATCACAGTTCAAGGCTAGCCAGAGCAAAAAAAGTTCACTAGCATCTTTATCTCCAAATTACAGCAAAAACCAGGGCTGGAAGCTTGGCTCAAGTGGTAGAGCATACACAAGGCCCTTATTTAAACTTCACTACCACCAGAAGTGTCTAATACAGAAATTCTTTTATAGCAATGAGGGTTAGTTTTTGTCTTGGTTTTTTTTTTTGAGGGGGGTTTGTCCTTAAGTACAAAGGGTTATTGTATAGAGGGTTTCAATTCAACATGATAGTGCACTACATCTTGATCAGTATCACCCCTTTCATGATTCTCCCTTATCTCTCCCAACCTCATGAGGGTTTTTTGTTGTTTGTGTTTGGTTTTGGTTTTTTTTGGGTTCCGTCCTAGGATTTAAACACAGGGCCTGGGTGCAGTCCCTGGTCTTTTTGATTAAGGCTAGTGCTCTACCAATTGAATTACAGTTTCACTTCCAGCTCATTTGTGGGTTGGAGATAGAAGTCTCACTGACTTTCCTGCCCAGGCTGGCTTTTGAACCCTGATCCTCAGATCTTAGCTTCCCGAGTGAATTGCAGGTGTGAGCCACCAGCACCTGGCTTCATGAGTGATTTTTTTAACTTGACAAAGATATTGTTAATATTATTTGGAGAGCTAAGATTTTCATTATTGCAGTTGTTGGTAAGAATTAGGCTGCTGGAAAGAATGCTTTGGAATATGTAGCTGATTTGTGTTTTTGCTATGTTTGTTGGTAAAGGATGTTTAAAAAGTGCTAGTTGTATTTTAAGTATCAGGCTCAGAGAGATGAAAGGCGCATATTTTCTCTCATATGGAAAGCTAAATCTAAAATACAAATATGCATTAGAACGTGCAGGGCTCTATGCATTTATACACAAACTGCTGAAAGGATGGAACACTAAGGGAGGAATCCAACTTACATATTGTTTATCAAAAGAATACCAGGAAATGGGAACATGTTGTGTGGGGGAGGGGGAAAAGGAAGGCCCATGAAAGGAGGGAGGAAGACAAGCAAATGCAATCTTTATAGCCAGTGTATGTTATATAAAAAATGAACTATAACCAGGTGCCAGTGGCTCATGCTTGTAATCCTAGCTACGCAGAAGGCTGAGATCTGAGAGGATCCTGGTTCAAAGCTAGCCTGAGCAGGAAAGTCCATGAGTATTTCTAGTTAGCCACTCAAAAAAAAATGGTGCTGTGGCTCAGGTGGTAGAGCACTAACCTTAAGCACAAAGAGGCTCAGGGACAGTACCCAGGCCCTGAGTTCAAGCCCTACAACTGATCAAAAAAAAAGAAGAAGCAACATTGTACTCATAAACTGACTTACAGAATTTTAATCCCTTTGTACAACTACTTAGTAATAATAAAATATTTTTTAAAAGGCTTTTAACTCTTGAGCAAGACAAAGTGTGATATATAGAACTACTATTGAATGACTTTCAGAACTGAGATTATGTATAACTTATAAAACTTCAGAAATTTTAACAGGACAATACATTGAAAACTGGTTATCAAAAATACCTTCTAACTTGTGTTCTAATTTTTTTATAATGTAATATATTTACGTATATATTTATCCTAACCATAATATTTATGGTTAGGAGTACATATTGATGAAGTGTTGATTTTACATCTTTGCTTGTTTGTTTTCCTTTTAAGCCTACACAACCTGCTGATGAACCTGCAGAAAAGGCTGATGAACCAATGGAACATTAAGTGATAAAAGTGTGTTATCAGATGTATGAGAGTGCAGAAGTGCATACTAATGACAATAATCTGTACTTTGAACCAACAAATGCATAGTGGTGGAATGGCATGTTTTAGGAATCAGTCCAGAGGGAGTTTTTCCCAAGCAACTTCCCTGAAACCATATAATTGGGTGCATTTTTTTTTCCTGAGGGACTATGTTATCATTTTCTAGAAAATATGGATATCTATACCAATGTTTTTATATGAAGAAAATAGTGTCTTTGGGATTTTAAAGACAACTGTGAAATAAAATTATTTCACCTCCTCTTGTATTGGGTTTTTAAGTCACTTCAACTATATAAAGTCCAGTATTGCAGCTGGCCATTTGCCAGATTATATTGCTTTATTTTTAGTAAAATAGAAGGATACCTCTTAGCTACCACATTCTTATAATAATTTTCTGTTGTGGAGATTGGCTACATGAAAATCCATGAATATTTCAGAATATAAATTTCAAGATACAAGTTTGGAGATTATTCTTATTAAGACAAAAAAGAAAGCTGTACACCAATGGCTCACACCTAAAATCCTAGCCACTCAAGAAGCAGTGATATGAGTGTCTTGGTTCAAAGCCAGCTGTGCAGACAAATCCTCAAGACTTCTCCAGTTATCAAGCCAAAAGTCCAAAGTGAAAGTATGGCTCAATTGGTAGACCACAAGAACTCAAGGCTTCAAGCCCCCAGTGCTTGCGCATGCATATGCATACACACACGCACACACACACAAAATACTTAAAAAATGGTAAGACTGAGCTGGGGTCTGGCTCTGGAAAAGTGCATGTTTAGCCAGAACTGTGCCATGGGGTCAGTCCTCAATACACAACAGAAAATGGCAAGATCATTAACATTTGAACAATTTCTGTCCAGCAGAAAGCCACGGATGTAACTTTAGTCTGTTGGGAACTTTTACAAAAATACCAACTGGGATATTTTAATCTCAAAGCTCTTACACAGCCCCACTTTCATTTGTTCTTTCTGTTATTCCCATGAGCTATGTACTCAGGTACTATAGAGGATATTTTTGTCTTAGACCTTTCGAAATGAAAGTCTATTAAATCATTTTTTAAAGAAATCCAGAGTTTAGCTTGGTGCTGATAGTTGAGCCTTATAGTCATTACTATCAGGATGCTGAGATCTGCAGGAAGCCAGAAAAGTTTTAAACTCCCATTTCCAAAATAACCAGCAAAAAGCCAGGCTAGAGAAGTGATTCAGGTGGTAGAACAGCTAAACCAGCAAAGCAAGCTCTCTTCCCCCCATCCCCTAAAAACCCTAGAATTTTGCTGCTTGCTATACAATTTATAGGAGTTATTTTCTGGTATAGTACATCTTTCTAGAGATATGTATTTATAGGTAGTAACCCAGATGTTATTTTTTGTCAGTCACAGAGCTTGAATTCTGGGCTTGGGCACTGTCCCTGAGCTCTTCAGCTCAAGGTGAGCGCTCTACCACTTAAGCCACAGTGCCACTTCTGGTTTTCTGGTGGTTAATTGGAAATAAGAGTCTTTCAGACTTTCCTGCCTGGGCTAGCTTTGAACCACAACCCTTAGATCTCAGCCTCCTGAGAGGCTAGGATTACAGGTGTGACCCACTGGCTCCTGGCTAACCCAGATTTTATATCTAATTTTATTACTTAGCTGCTAATGGCTTAAAAATTCTTAATTTTACTGAAAACCTTGGGATTATTGTAGTATGAAGTGAGAAAATTTATAATATAACCTCAAACAATGATAAATATTTTTTAGGCTTCTCACAGCTTAAAAAAATTTTTTTAAGTCCTTCTGTGACTTCTTAAGGGAAAATGGTAAAATGATTTGGCAGTTGTATCAGAGGAACCCCTTTTGAGTATTGGAATGTATGAGATGTTAGTCTGTGCTATGGAGTAGCCTCACAGACCTGCCATTTAAATACTTTGTGGGTATATGAAGTACAATGGAGTTCTATCAACGGTATATAACTTTGATAAATACCCCCCAAACAAAAGAAACTTAGTTTGGGGCTGGGAAGATAGCTTGGTAGAGTGCTTGACTTGCATGCATGAGGCCCTGGGTTCAATTCTTCAGCACTACATAAGCAAAAAAAGCTGGAAGTGGTGCTGTGGCTCAAGTGGTAGAGTGCTAGCCTTGAGCTGAAGAGCTGAAGGACAGCGCCCAGGCCCAGAGTTCAGGCCCCACAGCCAACAACAACAACAAAAAACCCAACTTAGCTTGATGCAGTGACTCATACTGATAATGCTAGCTACTAGGTAGGCTAATATCAAGAGGATTGAGGTTCAAGGCTGACTTAGGCAGAAGCAGTCATGGGATTGCATCTCAGTGGAAGAAGTTAGATGTGGTAGAGCACTCTGGTCATCTCAGCTACAGCAGGAAACATGAAATAGAATCACAGTCCAGGCATATGCCCAGCAGGACTCTTACCTCAAAATCACTAGCTAAAGACATAGCTTAGTAGTAGAGTGCCTGTCTAGCAAATCTGAGTCTCTTGAGTTCAAATTCCAGTACTACAAAACACACACAAAGATAAAGATTATGTATCTTTTTTGAGACAAGATCTCACTGTGTAGCCCTTAACTGTGTAGCCCTTAGCTTAACTCCCTAGTGCTTATCTTTTGTACTTGTTCTCTAAATGCAGCTACTAGTTTGTTGGAACTCAGCTTAAAACAAAAAACAGTGGTTTGTCTTGTGCCATAGGTGCAATTTTAGTTTTTTTTAACATAATTTTTAGTCCTATGCGCTGACTTAAAATTATTTCTCACGAGAACCAACCATACTATTGTAGATTCATTTGATGCGTTTATATTTCATTTGTTGAACTGTTTTTCCATAATGTTGAGAAATTTTGAGCAGAATGATTTCTAATGTCATCTGTGTCCTTTCACTGACAAAGGTGAACAATTCACTAAGAATTTTTTGAGCATCTATATATGTAGCTCTGAACTAACATGGTTAAAAACTAAAAGGTTGGGGCTGGGAAGGTGGCTCAGTGGTAGAGCGCTTGCCTTGCATGCATGAGGCCCTGGGTTCGATTCCTCAGCACCACATAAGCAAAAAGAAA